GACCCAGAAGTTCAGACTGTCACCCTTGACCCTGAGAATTTCCTAGAAGAAGATGGTTACAGGGATGAAGCAGCTTGGCCTCGCAGGCTTCTGGGTTAGACTCCGGGAGCCAAGGCCGATGGGCCCGAGCAGGGAAGCTCAGACGGGATGGGCGGTCACACAGGCTGATGATGAGGGGGAGGTGAAAGCCAGGGTGCCCGTGTCCGTCTCCGCTGGGCACTCTGCAGGGAGCAGAGGAGGAACACGTGGTGTGCTGGCGGAGAATTCCTCTTCAGAGCTTGAGCTTTTCAAAGACGCCGGGTCTGTTTACACAGATCGCTGGGCCTGGGCCCCCGGAGTGTAACTGAGCTGCTGGAGCTGAGCCGGGGAGGCTCCCTGCTCACGTTCCCAGCGAGGCCACCGCCCCCGCTGGCCCAGGCCCTGCTGTGAGGACCCGGCGGGCAGGGAGGACCCGGGGAGACCGGGCCGGCAGGGAGGACCCGGGGAGACCGGGCCGGCAGGGGGGACGGGGGGGGGGGACCGGGCCGGCAGGGAGGACGGGGGAGGGGGGAGACCGGGCCGGCCGGGAGGACGGGGGAGGGGGGGAGACCGGGCCGGCCGGGAGGACGGGGGAGGGGGGGGGACCGGGCCGGCCGGGAGGACGGGGGAGGGGGGGAGACTGGGCCAGCCGGGAGGACGGGGGAGGGGGGGGGACCGGGCCGGCCGGGAGGACGGGGGAGGGGGGGAGACCGGGCCGGCAGGGGGGACGGGGGAGACCGGGACGGGTGGGGGAAGGGGGGAGCAAACCCGACTCCTCCGCTCCTGGCGGTGCCATTGGGGCCCTGAGTGACTGGCAGAGCCTCTGGGCGGGCCCCCCCCCCCGCCTGGTCTGTGGCTGCCGGAGAGAACGCCCTGTGACTTCCGCTCCTGCACGTCCTCCGGGAGGACGAGCTGCTGGTGCTCCCGGGGTCCCGGAGGACCCGGGAGGACGAGCTGCTGGTGCTCCCGGGGGCCCGGAGGACCCGGGAGGACGAGCTGCTGGTGCTCCCGGGGGCCCGGAGGATCCGGGAGGACGAGCTGCTGGTGCTCACGGGGGCCCGGAGGATCCGGGAGGACGAGCTGCTGGTGCTCACGGGGGCCCGGGGGATCCGGGAGGACGAGCTGCTGGTGCTCCCGGGGGCCCGGAGGATCCGGGAGGACGAGCTGCTGGTGCTCCCGGGGGCCCGGAGGACCCGGGAGGAGGAGCTGATGGTGCTCCCGGGGGCCCGGAGGACCCGGGAGGACGAGCTGCTGGTGCTCCCGGGGGCCCGGAGGACCCGGGAGGAGGAGCTGATGGTGCTCACGGGGGCCCGGAGGACCCGGGAGGACGAGCTGCTGGTGCTCACGGGGGCCCGGAGGATCCCGGGAGGAGGACGTCTCAGCAGCCGAGGGAGCTGGCCGGGAGGGCGGGAGGCGACATTCAGCTGCAGGGGGAGATAGCAGAGGAGCTGGCCGGGAGGGCAGGAGGCCGGCAGGAGTGCCAAACAGGCCTCTGTGAGAGGAGTCGGGGTGCGGATGGGGAGCCTGCCCTCGGGGAGTGGGGACGGTGACGAGGCAGGAGCAGGCGCTGGGTGAGATGCCGAAATGATGCCAATCCGTTCAGCGGCTCCGCGGGATCAAGATCTCAGTGTGTCTGCGGGATCACAGGCGGAGACGGACCCAGGGGGGAATGGGCTGTTGGCGTGGGTTCAGAAGCAGCCCATATGCCATTGGCCCCCGTGCAGTCACATGGTCCCCCCCAGAGGCAAAGGGTGCTGGGAAACGTAGTCCCTGGCCAGGAGGGGCCGCACAGCTTCCGTGGAGAGCTGCCTGCCACGGTGGCCCTTCTGTCCCCGGCCAGCTCTCCCAGCCCTTCTCCTCGCACACCCGCTCCGCTTTCTGACCAGTGGATCTGACGGTGAGGACGCTGAGGTCCCCAAAGCCACTCACTGGCAGTAGCAGAGTCAGGACCTGAACCCCGGAACCCGGACCCGTGTGCCCCCAAAGCCTTGTCAGGCCAGGCCCTCGTCTTGGGCGCTTTTCGGGGGCTCCGCCTGGTGCAGGCTCCCCACTCAGAGCTCAGCCATGCTTCCGAGATTGGACAGCAATGGGTCTGGCTGCCCCTGAAGCAGGGACAGGGCTGGGCCCTGTGTGAGCCTTTATTCCAGCCAGGCCGGCAGCACGGGTGTGTGTGTGTGTGTGTGTGTGTGTGTGTGGCCTGAATCCAGGCCCCCCCGCCCCCCCGCAAGCCGGTCACCCTGGAAAGTCTGTTCTGTGCACGCGCCCCCACCAAGCCAGCAGCTTATACACCGGGAAGAAGGCAAAAGGAAGGAAGAGGGTAAAATGGTTGCAGGCGATGTGGCCTGGCGTTGCAGAGGGCCAGTGCCTTCCGGACTCCGTTGTTTCGCCAACAAGGCTGTTACTCTGTGTGCGGTGACAGGCAGTTCTGGATGAGAACGGGCCGCATCCGGGTTAACTCCCAGGCCCGGGTACAACTCCCTCCGGTCAGAACGTGCTTTCTTACTCAGAGCGAAGCAGTCACAGCTAACAGCGCGGTTCCTGCTTCTCAGCTCGCCCCATTGTTCTCTCTGCCCCAGCACTGTCAGCCAACGAACCCCGACACCTGGCGGCTGCAGCCCCACGGTCCCCCACGGCGGCCTGCTGCGCCCGTTAGACGCAGAGGCTGCCCATGTCTCCGCGTGCCTGTTAGTGCCTGCAGCACGCATTCACGCAGGACCTGCTGTGCGCCGTGCAGAGTGCCGACTGCACGGGAGAAAGGAAGGCTGGGGCACATGGACAGCTCCCCTGAGAGCGAGAGAGGCTGTGTCCCTGGTTCCCGGCGCACACGGTGTCCTGAGCACGTCGTTAAAAATTAATCTTTTTCTTTTAAATAAAATTTTATTGTTCATATTATTACAAATGTTCCTTCCCCCCACCCCCCTCCATTGCTCCCCTCCACCAGGTTCCCATCCCACCCTCTGCCCTTTCCCCACCCCCCATTGTCCTCATCCATAGGTGCACAGTTTATGTTCAGTCTCTTCCCACATCCCCCTCTCCCCTTTTCCCCAAGAATCGTCAGTTCACTCCCCTTCCATACCTTTGAATCTATTATATTCACCAGTTAATATTGTTCATCAGATTTTTTTTTAATTTCCTTGGTTTTTAGATTCACTTGTTGGTAGTTACGTATTTGTTGTTCATAATTTTTATCTTTATTTACTTTCTCTTCCGAAAGAACCCCCTTCAGCAATTCATATAATTCTGGTTTGGCGGTAATGAACTCCTTTAGCTTTTTTTTTTTTTTTTAGTGAAGCTCTTTATCTGACCTTCGATTCTGAGTGATAGCTTTGCTGGATAGATTATCTTTGGCTGTAGGTTCTTACTATTCATCACCTTGAATATTTCTTTCCATTCCCGTCTGGCCTGCATGGTTTCTGTTGAGAAATCAGCTGACAATCATATAGGTGCTCCTTTATAGGTAACTACCTGCTTTGCTCTTGCTGCTTTTAATATTCTCCCTTTGTCTTTTGCTCTTGGAATTTTAATTATGATTTGTCTTGGTGTGGTCCTCTTTGGATTCCTTATGTTTGGAGTTCTGTGCACTTCCTGGACTTGTAAGTCTAATTCTTTCACCAGGTGGGGAAAGTTTTCTGTCACTATTTCTTTCAGTATGTTTTCAATATCTTGCTCTCTCTCATCTTCTGGGACCCCCATAATTCTGATGTTGGTTCGCTTGAAGTTGTCCCAGAGGTTTCTTACGTTATTTTCAATTTTCTGGATTCTCTTGTCTTCTTGCTTCTGCGGAGGAGTGTCTTCTGGCTCTTTATGTTCCAAATCTTTGACTTGATTCTTGTGATCTTCCTTTCTGTTTTTAGGACTCTGTATAATATTTTTTATTACAGATAATGTATTCTTTATTTCTTGTTGATCCCTTGTCATTTCTCGTTGATTCCTTATTAATTCTAGTTGATCCCTTTTCATATCCTCATAGGTCTTATTGACCCTTTCTAGGAAATTCTTGAAAAACCTTCTAAGCGTAGATTTGAACGCTATATCTAGCTGCTTTTTGTCCTCCATTTCTTTCTTTTATGATCTATTTTGTTGTCACATTTTCGCAGCTTCCCTGATGGGGTGGAGTTTCAGGGTAGAGCCTACAACCTTGGCTTCCATCAGCCCTGCCCTATGTGGTTCCTGAGTCTCAGTAATCCCCAGGGTTCTTCAGTACTCGCTGCAAGCACCTCTGAGAGAAAGGTGCCCTCGATTTTCGCCTGCTACCAAACAGTCTAGACTAGGGGTGTCGAACTCAATCAGAGAAGGGGCCAAAATCTAAAATCCAGCCTAAATCGCGGGCCGAATGGTTTACTGAACAGTCATAAACTGTCATTGTGATGGAAACGCAGCGGAGTGCAGTGATGACAGTGTGGTGCGGGCCACATTGCAAGGCCTGGCGGGACGGATTTGGCCCGAGGGCCTTGTGTTTGACACATGTGGTCTAGACTCTCCCCCCAATGAGCCCGGAACTGGGGTTCAGTTCAGTTGGAAGTGGAGTTGGAGGTGGCGTTCAGAGCAGACTGGAGCCCCAGTCTCCTTCCCGCCAGGGCAATTCTGCGGCACAGCCAACCGTCCCTTCTCTGCGCGCAGTGTGCGCGCCTCCGGGACCTCCTTTCGCCGCTCCCCCGGGGTTCCGCCTTACAGCCCAGCTCCCTATGGATGAGCCTGGGCCCCCGGGGTCTGGCCCAGAAATGGGGTTCAGAGCAGTCGGAACTGGGGCCCAGCACAGTCGGAGCTTTTATCTCCTTCCCGCTAGGGAACGCCAGCCAGGCACTCAGCCTCCCTCCTCTCCGGCTCCGTCCTCTCTGCGCATGCCGTGTGTCTCTGTACTTTAGGCTTTTACAGCTCTTCCGTTTTCTCCTTGCTTCTCGCTGTAGAATTTCCAGTCAGTCGACTTTCCTGTAGTTCTGGGTAATGTCCATTTTATATTTTAGTTGTATTTCATTGAAATTGTTGTGTGCAGCTGCGGCTAGGTGTTTACCTGGGCAGCCATCTTGGATTCTCCAGCTAAAAATTAATCTTCAAACTCTCATATGCATTTGATAATCAAAGCCATGATGAGAATAATTGTGCTTTGTATTCAGACGTGCTTTTCTGACGTTGAAGGCCTGGAGCAGCCTTGCCCTGCAGCGTTCTGTGTGGAGGAAGCCTGGGTCTGGCCGTGGCTGTCTGAGCTGCAGCAAGGCCAGTGCTGACCGCTCCTCGCTTCAGCGTGAGGAGCGCATGTCTCCTCTTCCCGGGGTGTGGAGTTTGTTTGTAGGGGAGGAAGGGGGGGGCTTCTTGGAATTCACCGGAATCATCCGGAGCGGGTCTCTGCCCGGCGCTGCTGACGCTGGCAGATACCCGTGTGCTGGGGCCGCCGGGGGTGAGGCCTTGAGCAGCTGCCCTGGGCTGACCTGCTAGGAACCCAGAGTGCTGGCAGCCAAACTCTCCGGCCATGGCAGTGCCCCCGCTGGCGAGTTCCCAGGTGGAGGACGACTTTCCGGGCCGCAGCCAGTCACAGCCTGGGGCTAACACGGCACAGACTTCTCCGAGGCGTCCAGGAGGCCGAAGCCCACAGCCAGGGCTCACACGGCTTCCCGTTTCCAGAGCCTTCCTGTGCTCACGGCGTCTCCTCTCTCCCTGGCTCAGCCCTCCTCCTCCCTTTAGAGCACATGTGTCAAACACAAGGCCCGCGGGCCAAATCCGTCCCGCCAGGCCTTGCAATGTGGCCCGCACCGCGCTGTCATCACTGCACTCCGCTGCATTTCCATCACAATGACAGTTTATGACTGTTCAGTAAACCATTCGGCCCGCGATTTAGGCTGGATTTTAGATTTTGGCCCCTTCTCTGATTGAGTTCGACACCCCTACTTTAGAGGGTCCTGTGGATGGGCTGGGGATGGGGCCAGGGATGGGAATGGAAATGGGATGGGGATGTGACGAGGATAGGGCTGGGGCCGGGGATGTGGACGGGGATGGGGCTGGGAATGGGGATGTGGACGGGAATGGAAATGGGGATGTGGACGGGGACGGGGATGGGCCGGGGACGGGGATGGGCTGGGAATGGGGATGTGGACGGGGACGGGGATGGGGCCGGGGATGGGGATGTGGACGGGGATGGGGATGTGGACGGGGACGGGGATGGGCCGGGAATGGGGATGTGGACGGGGACGGGGATGGGGACGGGGATGGGGACGGGGATGGGGATGGGGATGGGGCCGGGGATGGGGATGTGGACGGGGACGGGGATGGGGATGGGCTGGGAATGGGGATGTGGACGGGGACGGGGATGGGGCCGGGGATGGGGATGTGGACGGGGACGGGGACGGGGACGGGGATGGGGATGGGGATGTGGATGGGGCCGGGAATGGGGATGGGGCCGGGAATGGGGATGGGGCCGGGGATGGGGATGTGGACGGGGACGGGGATGTGGACGGGGCCGGGGATGGGGCCGGGGATGGGGATGTGGACGGGGACGGGGATGTGGACGGGGCCGGGGATGGGGCCGGGAATGGGGATGTGGACGGGGACGGGGATGGGGCCGGGAATGGGGATGTGGACGGGGCCGGGGATGGGGCCGGGAATGGGGATGTGGACGGGGACGGGGATGGGACCGGGGACGGGGATGGGCTGGGAATGGGGATGGGGATGGGGACGGGGATGGGCTGGGAATGGGGATGGGGATGGGGCCGGGGATGGGGATGTGGACGGGGCCGGGGATGGGGCCGGGAATGGGGATGGGGCCGGGGATGGGGATGTGGATGGGGACGGGGATGGGCTGGGAATGGGGATGGGGATGGGGACGGGGATGGGCTGGGAATGGGGATGGGGATGGGGACGGGGATGTGGACGGGGACGGGGATGGGCTGGGAATGGGGATGTGGACGGGGACGGGGATGGGGATGGGGCCGGGGATGGGGATGTGGACGGGGACGGGGATGGGCTGGGAATGGGGATGTGGACGGGGACGGGGATGGGGATGGGGCCGGGGATGGGGATGGGGATGTGGACGGGGACGGGATGGGCACATGGACGGGGCCGGGAGCCCTCCACCTGCCCCGCACCGACTCCTGCCTCCCTTTGCAGGGCCCTCCCCGCAGCAGCTGCCCGCGGACTCTGGCACCTGGATGGGACCATGGCCCACGAGGACCTCATCTTCCACCTGGAGGGCGTCGGCGGCAGTCGGACCCCCGGGGCCGGCCGTGACGGGGACTCGGACCCGGACAGCGAGGACGAGGACGGCTACTGCCTCTGGCCCCTCACCGAGGCCCCCGGGCCGCTCCGGCGTGGCCTCTGCGGCGCCCTGAGGAGCAGCCCGCAGCCCGGCCACGCCGCCCCGGGCAGCGCCTTCCGCGTGCGGGTGAGTGGCCGCCCCGGCTTGGCCTGGTCCGCAGGCCGAGCGGGGCCTCCGGCTGCGGGGCCTCCGGCTGCGGGGCCTCCTGACTGCGGGGCCTCCTGACTGCGGGGCCTCCTGACTGCGGGGCCTCCTGACTGCGGGGCCTCCTGACTGCGGGGCCTCCGGCTGCGGGGCCTCCTGACTGCGGGGCCTCCTGACTGCGGGGCCTCCTGGCTGCGGGGCCTCCTGACTGCAGGGCCTCCGGCTGCAGGGCCTCCTGACTGCGGGGCCTCCGGCTGCGGGGCCTCCTGACTGCGGGGCCTCCTGACTGCGGGGCCTCCTGACTGCGGGGCCTCCTGGCTGCGGGGCCTCGGGCTGTGGGGCCTCGGGCTGTGGGGCCTCGGGCTGCGGGGCCTCCTGACTGCGGGGCCTCCTGACTGTGGGGCCTCGGGCTGCGGGGCCTCGGGCTGCGGGGCCTCCTGACTGCGGGGCCTCCTGACTGCGGGGCCTCCGGCTGCGGGGCCTCCGGCTGCGGGGCCTCCCGCTGCTGGGCCTCCTGACTGCGGGGCCTCCTGGCTGCGGGGCCTCCTGACTGCGGGGCCTCCTGACTGCGGGGCCTCCGGCTGCTGGGCCTCCCGGCTGCGGGGCCTCCGGCTGCGGGGCCTCGGGCTGTGGGGCCTCGGGCTGCGGGGCCTCCTGACTGCGGGGCCTCGGGCTGTGGGGCCTCGGGCTGTGGGGCCTCGGGCTGCGGGGCCTCCTGACTGCGGGGCCTCGGGCTGTGGGGCCTTGGGCTGCGGCTTCGGCGGAGCTCAGCTCCAGGGCTCTCAGCCGGCTCAGGGCCTCCTGGTGAACCGACCGGCTTCTTACGAAGCCGGAGGGAACGGGACTAGGAAATAGGGAGGCAGAGCAGGTTGTAAAGGTGCTGTTTTTCGGAACATATTGCACATGTTCACACACGTTCAGCTTCTCGTGGCAGACCGGTTAAGTATTTTTATTTCACGAGTGTGGGTGTGTGTGTGTGTGAGTGTGTGTGTTTGTGTGTGAGAGAGTGTGTGTGTGTGTGTGTGTGAGAGAGTGTGTGTGTGAGAGAGTGTGTGTGTGAGAGTGTGAGTGTGTATGTCTGTGTGTGTGAGAGTGTGAGTGTGTATGTCTGTGTGTGTGAGTGTGTGTGAGTGTGTGTGTGAGAGTGTGTGTGTGTGAGAGTGTGTGTGTGTGTGTGAGTATGTCTGTGTGAGTGTGTGTGTGAGTGTGTGTGTATGTCTGTGTGTGTGTCTGTGTGAGTGTGTATGTGTGTGTGCGCGAGTGTGTGTGTTTTTGTGTGTGTGCGCATGCGCTCCAGGGACCTTCGGTAGAGCCAGTCCGTGGTGTTGGCTGCAGAAATAAAATCCTGTGCCTGGCGGGGCCTGTGTAGCTCAGTGGTTGAGCAGCGACCCAGGAACCACGGCCACGGGTGCGATTCCTGGTCAGGCACAGCCCGGGCTGCGGGCTCCATCCCCTGTGCCGGAGGCAGCTGATGGAGACGGTTGTCTGTCCTCCTCCCTGCCCCTCTCTCTAAAGATACACAAGTGCGTATTTTAAAGACAGCCCGGCGTGGCCGGCCTCCCGCTGCCTGGGGAAGGCACTGTCTCATGGGGTCTGTGTTCACTCGTGGCACAGCCTGTGTGACGGACGGACGGACGGAGAGAAACGTTACGGACTTCCGTAGAGCTGGTGTGGAAAAGCAACGCAGCACTGCTGTCCTGGTTTAACCTGACCCTCACAGACGGGCTAGTAGCAAAATGCTTATTGCCGTTAGGGATTTTAAATTAAGATCATGTTTGTAACTCCAGAATTCGTCTTTCTTAGGAGATTAACCATTCCGGTCGGACAGCCGAATGTTTTCCTTTAGGGCCAGTCTATCGGAGTTCCTTGGGGCAGGCGCTCCTGGAACAGCCTGGGGCCCCGAGGCACACAGCCTGAGGGGAGGGGGGCGTCCCGCCTCCTCTGTCCATCCAGGCCCGGGAGCTCCAGGGATCCCTGTGGGTGGCGTCCTGCCCAGAGGGCGGGCGGAGGGACTGCTGGACAGAATCCAGCTCGCAGGCTGCAGGGAAAGGGGAGTTGATTGGGACAGTCGTAGGGGGAGGGGAGAGAAGGAGAAGAGAGGAGAGGGAGAGAGAGGAGAGGGGAGGGGAGGGTGTCATTTTTTTCCCCTCTTATGCGTTCATTGGTTGATTTTATATGTGCCCTGACCAGGGATCGAATCCACAGCCTTGGTGTATCACGTCGATGCTCTCGCTAACTGAGCTACCCAGCCAGCCCTCTCTGCCTCTTCTTTATAAAGGCTGGTGCTTGGAGTTCATGCCTGGGGGGAGGTCCCCTCAGCCTAGCCTGGACCCTCTCCGACCCAGGACCCCTCAGGGGATGTCTGACTGCCGGCTTTGGCCTGATCCAGGGGTTGGGCCAAAACCAGCAATTGGACATCCCTGTCACAAATCCGGGACCACCAGCTCCTAACTGCTCACCTGCCTGCCAGCCTGATCGCCCCTAACCACCTCTGCCTGCCAGCCTGATCACCCCCCACTGCTCCCCCTGCCGTCCTGGTCACCCCTAACTGCTCCACCTGCCGACCTGGTCGCTCACGCAGCCTGCTGGTCACTCATTTGTCGTCCCTCGCTAACCCCCCTGCCAGTCTTGTCACCCCACGCAGCTGCTGTTACTGAGGGAGTCGTGACCGATTTGCATTGTATAGATTCTCGTATTAGCATAGATTCCTCTCTGCTCCTCAGTCTCACAGGGCGAACAGGGCCTCCTGGTCACAGGCCTCCTACGGGTGGACCACATGCAGAGGCAGGCTTCCCCTCTGCACCCGTTCTGGGTGGGAGGAGGGAATCTGCTGGCCTGGCTGGGCCAGGCGTCCTCCATTGCTGATGTGTCCGTGCTGGCCAGCTGGCCAGGGCGTGGGGTGGGGCTGAGTCACAGAGGGTCCTGCTGGCCTTGGGGGCGGGGGAGGTGGGGAGGGGGAGGCGAGCGGGGGACTCCGGAGAGCTCCCTCCAGCTGCCTGTCCCCGGCTCAGCTTTCCAAACCGCACCCTCCCTGGCACTCCACAACCTAATTATTTACCGTCGGCATGGCAACCTGGCTGGGTAAGCAGAATGGCCCGGCGATGGGCAGGCCTCTGGCACCGCCGCTCAGCTCAGCGTGGCCAGGCTTTGGAGGGCGCCAGGCGGTGGGCCGTGGCGTTAGCGTGAGCCTGCGAGGGCGCCCCGTGTGGCCTTTGGCCACTCCCGTGCCTGCGGCCTGCCGTGCACAGGCAGGTGCGTGCTGAGGGCCGGCGAGGCGGTGTGCGTGCTGAGCTCACTCCCCTGGGGGCGCTGTCTCTGAAGCGCACGTGGAGACAGTATTTGCATAAACCCCTGTGGGCCCTCTGACTGGCAGTGGTTATTAAAATAAAACACAGCTCGGACGGCAGTCCCATCGCCAAGGTCCATCCCAGCCACGGTGTCGTTCTCAGTGGGAGGAGTGTCCTTACACTGCAGGGAGTCAGCACGCTGGCCCCGCCCACAGGGGCCACGTGCCCACTCATGTGACAGCGCGTGTTCTCCGCGTGGGGTCCGCCTCCACGAGAACCAGGACAGAGTGCGTCCCGTGGCGTGTTCACACGGTCAGAGTGCGCGCTGCCCGCGGGCATGGGGGCACGGAACCGCTCAGAGGTCCGTCCAGAGGCCGTTGCAGACCGGCCTGCGCGTGCGCATCACCGGGGGCAGGGAGTCCGGCTGGTCTGAGGAGAGCCTCCGGCTCAGTGCTGGTCCTTAGGAGCCACCTGTTTCGTTCCTATTTTATTTTTATTGATTTCAGAGAGGAAGGGAGAGAGATTGAAACATCAAAGAGAGAATCATCGATCAGCAGCTGCCTTCTGCACGCCCCCTACTGGGGATCGAGCCCACCACCCAGGCATGTGTCCTTGATAGGAATCGAACCCGGGATCCTTTAGTCCACAGGCCGATGCTCTGTCTATCCCCTGGCCAAACCGGCTAGGGCTGCTGTTTTGTTTTTATATGCTGATATATAAAAAAGCAAGTTGAAATATAATACAACCCCACTTTTATATAAGCGCATATATATATATATATACACACACACACACACACACACATATTTGTATTTGCATTACAGAAACTCACAGACGTTTGCCTGCAGCAATAAGCAGTAATTCTCTCTGAGGGGGAGAGTGCAGTTGAGGGGACTTTGATGACCTATTTTATTATATATCACATATTATATATCATACATTACATATTATTGTAAACATTTGGCGCTTTTAAAACTACACGTATGTTACTTACATGCAGAAAAAGTGTTTTTAGAAGGAAAATAAAGCAAAAATCAAATCAGGAAGTTCCAAGGCCTTCCCAAGCCCGAGGCCCAGGCGTCGGCTTTGCTTTGTGTCTCCCTGAGCCTCCCTCTCTGGCTGTCTGTCTGTCTGTCTCTGTGTCCGCAGGGTGTCAGGGCTTCCTGGGGACCCGAGCTGAAGACAGGGTGGGGGTGGGGGGCAGGGGACCATGCGCTGAGCCTGTCCACGAGGCAGCCTGACTGCAGGGGGGCTCTGGGTGCCCCGAATGGGCCCTGGCCGTCTGACGTGGGCTCGGGGTTCCTGAGACAGCAGCTCAGCTTTCCAAACCGCACCCTCCCTGGCACTCCACAAACTGATTGTTTACTGTCGGCATGGCAACCTGGCGGGGTAAGCAGAATGGCCCTTGGCCCTTGGCATGGACGGATGACGGGTTCTCCCCGCCTGGGCCAGGGCCCCCCCTCCCCCCTGTGCCGCCCAGGGACGGTGTGGGAACGAGGATTCGCTCCTTCCCTCTCCTTCCTCCGTTTCCCAGAATAAGCACAGCTGTTCACATTTTTAGTGCAGTAGGACATTTATTTTTAAAAGTCGGGGATCACTCCACATCAGCACACAGCCCTGGCCTTCCCGCCTGGCTGCTTCCCCTGGCATGAAGTCTTCCTGCTCGGCCGGGGACTCCGCCAGCACCTCCTCTCT